AAAATGTTACTAAATAGCACGTTCATATACCACCGCTCAAAAGTTTTAGAACACTTCTTTTTTAATTTAATTGATTTCTAAAAATTAAATTTATCTGGCTAATAACCATTGAAATATTATTATTATTCGTTAGAAAGACAAAAATGATAATTTATATAAAGTAATAATAATTTATACAAAGAATGTGTACAAATTATTTAAGTACTATTTTAACGAATATAACCTCTTCAAAAGTCTCAAGGGTTAAAACAAAAATGGTTTAATTTTTCGATGTAATTATATTTGACTCATTTTTAATCTGAAATAATTATATAAGTGAATTCTAAATAAATTTGTAATGCAAAAATAATCGTAATTTTTCACATATTTGATCAATGAATTTAATGTGTAAGTATTAAATGTTACTCGAATGAGAAACTCAAACTTTCTAAATAATATTAGACAGATTTATGTGAACAATTTTTAATACCACATTGCGTAAATTTAATGTTAAATCTATCTATATGTAATTTTTAAATTAAAACTCAAGTTTGAAATAAACAGACAAAGAATAAATTACACATTAATTCTTTATCTTGATGAAAATCAATGTAGATTTCAGAAGAAGCTTCTTAATTTATTATAAGACTTGTAGAACAGTCATTTGACCAGTTTGATAGTGTTAACAAAATCCAAAACTTGTATTAAATTATTGTTTTTACGATTCGTAATGATCCTGCAACTAAGAGCGGTAGAGTACATAGAAACACACGAAAATCACTGATTTCCTAAAATTCCTCGATGTGATCATCGAGACCAATTTCTCTACGGAATCAATCAATTTCTTAATTACCTAAGTACCTAACTTGCTTGTGCGTACTCGGAAAAATCGACATTACATAGGAACCGATTGAAAGCTGTGGTAGAATCCACAATTAAGTAACTCGATCGTAGTTCACGCGTGCGTTTCGAATGTGCAACTGTCCCTCGTTTTGGTTACATTTTTGAGCTTCAATTTCTCCGAACAATTGCCAGAAATATTTTCCAACTACCTTCGAACTAACCTTACAAACAATTCACTCCGTTTTTCTGTACCATTCTCATATCTAACATCTATTATTTTAAAACACAGAAGTGAGTTTAACCCTTTGTTGCATGATTTCTATTCGCAATGTTTAAATTCTAGTAAAAAAATTCTTACCATACTAAGAACAGCTTTTCAATAAAATAACATTAAAGAATTATTTGAAAAAATGAAGAATTAAGTTTGTAATTTTTCGAGATGTAAAAATTATGACAAAAAGATTTTCCGTAATTTTATTGATTTGCAGATAAAAGTTGCAGATAAAAATTCAGTTGACAGATAAAAGTTTTATGCTTGCAACGAAAGGTTAAATAACAAGTAGATTATAATTGTATTTCGACTGTGCTTTCACCGCATCTTTTTCCACGCTCATAAATTCGTTATACAGTAACTAATATTTTGTACCCCCAAAAAGCATTTCGCTACTTCACGTTTCGTTGAGGTACCGCAATTTCGTAGTACGCAAATATAATTTACAGTTCAGTATAAATTCATAAACGTTTTACAATGTACAAAGGTACGAGTGCACCTTTTTCAATTTATGGAATGTAATTTGGAATAATAGAAGACTAGATTGCAGCTGTCGTTTTACTGTATTCGTTCATTCTAAACGTGAAAGTTCATAAATATCTGAAACGTAAACACTAGTTTTTAAGTACCATGAAATATTTAGTTCAAGGTTCGTCGCTTTGGTGTTCATTTTGTACATGAAATAAAAAATTTCTGCAATGGCGTCTCTTTTTCAGATTTTAATAATCCTTTATTATTCAGAAGCTAAATGTAGCTGATCGTTGTTAATTCATTGATATGTCGATAGGAAATTAATGTGAAATCATAATTATTTAAACTCGAGGCAATTTTTTTCGTGTCAAAAATATTTTTCGATCGAAATTTTTTCGCGAAAAAGAATTTTTTAGTAAGTGCATAAGTGCATTTTAATGCATTGCAATGATTTTATAATTTCATTCGAACAAATTTTCGTTTGAGAAAAGTTTGTCCTACTAATATACTAATTTTAAAGCTGCTTAAGGTTTGTTATATAGAAAGATTTGTAATTTAAAATTAATTTTCAATGTAATGTTAAATGTAAAATAAAATTACTTTCAATGTAAAGTTAGATGTAATATAAAATTTCAAAGTAATAATTAGGTGTTACATAAAATTACTTTCAATGTAATGTTAAATGTAATATAAAATTTCAAAGTAATAATTAGGCGTTAAACAAAATTACTTTCGATGTGATAATTAAATGTTAAATAAAATCACTTTCAATGTAATATTTAAATGTGAAATAAAATTACTTTCAAAGTAATATTTAAATATGAAATAAAATTACTTTCAAAGTAATAATCAAACATAAAAGAAAATTACTTTGAAAGTAACAATCAAATGTAAAACAAAATTACTTTGAAAGTAATAATCAAATGTAAAACAAAATTACTTTGAAAGTAATAAATGTAAAATAAAATTAATTTCACAGTAAAATAAATTTTCATACTGAATGCAGAAACCTGCACTTTGATATGCATACCCATTGCTTTGAATAATAAAGTATTCTAAGAGTTCCAAATGTCAGAACTTTGTAACTGCGTACATTACATATATTTAACACTTACAGAGTGCTGATCAACCAGCAAATTTTCCTCGTCATCCTTTTTATATAATTATCAAGTTGAAACTTCAAGTTGAAAAAATGATTTCATAATAGAATTGTGCAGTGACGAGCAAAGTATGCTGTTCTCCTGATCAGTAATCTAAATCATTTAAATTAATCTAATCGAATTGAAATTAAGTTACATTAGGAATCATTTAAACAGGTACACGCTGCCTACATAGCGATAAGAATGATTCGAAGAAACTCTCCATAAGTTCGCATTTGACTAGAACTCGCAAATATCTCGCATACTTGGTGACATTTTACACTTAACGGCGTATGTACAATGTAATTAAATGTACATCTACATAACACGAAGATTTGCTTATCAGAGTCGCTTACACGAAAGTGATAACTTATCTATTCTGAACGATGAACCAACTTACAGAATAATGGTTCAAACACTTTGTACAACAAATTATGACAAGCGAAGATCACCGAACATTCCAAAATCGACGGTGAATCCGTGAAGGTTCGAATTTAAACAAATTCCATAATGCAAAAGACAGTAAGCAAGTTTCAGTTATGTGTAAACGTTCCCTTTACATTTTCTATATTTATCAATTCCACTCTTAATTAGCCTTAGAATTTCGAAAGCCATTTTATGCGATTATGCTTTAAAATCTGAGAACATTCTAAAAAATTATTCTAGCATTGTACATTGATTTTAATATTTATACGAGCTATCGATATACCTATTAACAAGTTAAATGATAGACATCACACTTTGAAAGACTTCACCTACGTAATTTAGAAATAATTCGGGGGTGAAATTTTTTTATACAGAATGTAGCAATAAACGTTTCCTTCGCTTCGAGAAAGTGTTTCTTACAAAATTTTGGTCTCGGTCATCGAAAGTTTTGACTTTACATCCTAACATACCAATTTTTGTTATTTTGTTCTCATGAGGAATGTATTAGCAACTGAAGATTTTTGAAAGGAATACCATTTCTAAAAATTAGAAATTTAAGAGCATTTTCCCAATTTCTAAATTTGCAAATTTAGAAATATGGAGATTTAAAAATGTATAAGTTTACAAATTTTCAAGGTTAAAAATTTAAAAAATGACTACACAAACACCCATCAGTTTTTTAATTACGGAAAAGATTATTACTTCACGCTGTATCGTGACCCAAGGAAAAATTAATAAATTATTGCATTACATGCAACGATAATTGTTACAGTACGAATATTTAATGAAATATTGGAACATAAATATGCTCTGATATCGAATCAACATGAATAATTTATCTGCTGATAAATATTCATTAAACATGAATTAACGCGGAGATTTATTTGAATATTGGACGAAGATAAATGTTTACGTCGTTGAAGTTCCAGGAACATTTAAGATTATATTAATCTGCATACGATCGAATTTTTCTGCTATTTTACAGAATTCATATTTTTCTTCTTTTCAATAAATATAATTTTACAACTAATTTTTATAAATACCACTTGAGAGAAACAATTTTCTAAAAAAGATATTAAAACAATTAATTTAAAATAAATTATTAACTTGAAACTATTAAAATAAATTATTAACTTCAAACAATTAAAATAAATTATTAGCTTGAAACAATTAAAATAATTATTCTATGTAAACAATTTTAAATAAGGATTTAAAAAGTTTAGAAAAAAAATGAGAATGATCGTATGCAATTAATACACACTATAGTTATAAGTGGCTAAATAAAAAATTGTACCTTAACCAGAACTATTTCATACCTTCATAAACTTATCGGTATAAATAAAGATTGCTATTATTTAAATACTTATAATAATAATCACAACGCTATTTAACCCTTCAATTGTAATACTTTAGCTTCGTAAGCGATAAGTATACACTAATTTACTTTTCTCTGCAATATTTTACGCTCTTCATTTTTGATCTGCTATGAAAGAATTACAGAATCGAAATAATTTATTCTTAACGCGTATCCACGTTGTTAAACATCGAATGTAAATGCAACATCAACAACATATGTCTTTCAAGTGTGTTTAAAACTAAGGTTGTGAATAATCACGTCAACATTTTTCGTCTTTCCAATTTTAAACTACGTCAATGTTCACTATGTATCAATAAATGTATAAAACATTTCGCTTCTTCGACTCACCAGAATTGCACTAGTTTTTTACGCAAACATAACCTATTACTAAATTGTAAAAACGGTATTGTAATAAAAATATTACGTACAGATATCAGCTTGAAGTTTAAATAAATTGTATTAAAATTGAAATTGTACGAAAGTAATCTTAATGATTAATAATTACATTAACAAAGTTTGCAACAGAAAATGTTACAATATACTCAATCGTGAAAATTAATTAAAAAATCTCAACTGCATTTCAAAAAACACTAAACTTGAAGTGCAACGAGTTCGTCGAGAGCAGCGAATTCGTGTGTAAAAATCCTTGTTGTTCGTCAAAAAATACAGTTTCAAATACCCCTAGTTCTTGTGTTTCAAATTCGTAATCGGCAGTCTTTTTCTTCAATTAACGGACTACCCGGCGTTGGCAACACTGGACGCGTAAACATCAAATAAGTCGTGTAACCAACGAAAAGCGACAGAACAAGCTGTCCCGTTGCGTCCTTTGGAAGTCCATACGATTCTCTTCGACGAGTATCAAAAAACGCACGGTTTCGTGTAACCAAACCTCGAAGATTGTTCAGGTGTTTCTCAGGTTTCCTGCACGAGTTTGATCGTGTTCGCGCCAGGAAGTTGTGGTGCATATGCCGTCGCCTCTCCACCATTCGTTTACGTCTTTGTAAAACTTTGATGGACGCTCGTCGTGCAACATGGCGCAAACGCGACACCAAAAGTACGTGTTGATAAATTCACCGGTGCCCTTCCATCGGAAATACGAATTGTAGAGTTCGTCGTCTTTGTCCAAACGGTGGAGGTACTCGGCTAACTCTTTTGGGGACTCGAACTCGTCCACGTGGATGTATGAGCGATACGGGGCGCTGCGGGCGTAGTCTGTTGGATGGGCACCCATCACGATCGGCAGAACGTTGTGCCTGAATGAGAAAGAAAGATAGTGTTATGTTTCTTGAAACGCAATTAAATTTTATTGATGTTAGGGATTTTAGGATTTGGGAGTTTGGGAGGTTGGAAGGTGGGGAGTTTAGGGATTTATGGATTTGGGAATTTGCAGATATGGGGATTTGGGGATTTAGATATTAGGGAATGTGGAGACTTAAGGATTTGTAAATTTGGGAGTGTGGAGATTAGGGCCTTGGAAATTTACAGATTTGGAGATTTGGGAATTTCACAACTTAGGGATTTGAGAGATATTGAAGTTTGAAAACTTGAAAATTTGGGGATTTGGAGGTTTCGGGATTTAGGGATTTGAGGATTTAAGGATTTGGGAATTTAGAAATTTAAGAATTTAGGATTTTGGAGATTTGAGGATTTGAGAATTTGTACATTTGGGAATTTGAGAGCTTGGGAATCGGGGAGCTTGGGAATTTGGGAACTTGAGAATTTGGGAGATTGGGAATTTGGGAGATTGGGAATTTGGAAGTTTGGGAATTTGAGAGCTTGGGAATTTGGGAGCTTGGGAATTTGGGAGCTTGGGAATTTGGAAGCTTGGGAATTTAGGAGCTTGAAAATTTGGGAGCTTGGGAATTGGGGAGCTTGTGAATTTGAAATCTTGGGAATTTGGGAGCTTGGGAATTTGGAAGCTTGAAAATTTGGAAACTTGGGAATTTAAGAGCTTGGAAATTTGGGAGCTTGAGAATTTGGAACCTTGGGAATTTGGGAGCTTGGGAGTTAGAAAATTTGAGAATTTGGGAGCTTGGGAGTTGGAAAATTTGAGAATTTGGTAATTTTAGATATTTGAAACTTTTGAACTTTGAAAATATGGAAATTTGGGAATTTTGAACTTCGAGAATTTAGGAATTCTAAAATATAGAAATCAATGAACTTCGAAATTCTCAACCTGCAAATTTGAGATTCCAGAAATTCCTGAACTTTAAAGTAGAGTTTCTGAATTTGCCTATTAAGGTTTTCTGAAACCTAAATATCTGTATTTAGAAATTCGAATGATTGGACATTTGAAAATTAAAATAAATGTGAATTTGAAAATTTGGAAATGTAGAAATACAAAAATTTGAACATATAACATGTATGAATTATAAAAATAGTAAATTAGTATTTCGAACAGAATATTTTTTCGTATAAAAAGGAAACAAAGCTACCAACTACACCCTAGTTTCTGAGATTGGTAACTCTTATCCCCAAATCTCGGTGAAGACAACACTTCAGCAGAGTAGGACAAGAGAGTATCTTGAAACCCTCTACTTGCACTAGAGAGCACTAAATAAGGGCAGTAACAACTAGATGTAAAGTACACTTTGGCAATTATGGTAACAACTCTACAAAATGTTAATATGTCCTATATGTATAATTTGTGTATACCTGTACATGAATTTTTCATATGTGATGTTACATGTCATATGTCATATATCATATGTCATATGTCATTTATTTCATATCATATGTTATATGCAATATGTCTTATGTCATATATCATGTATTGTATGTCATATGTCATATGTTGTATATCATATGTTGCATGTCATGTATCGTATGTTGTATGTAATATGTTTTATGTCATACATCATATATCATATGTTGTATAACATATGTCATATGTTCCATGTCATATGTCATTTGTCATATGTCATTTATTATATGTCATTTATCATATGTCATTTATCATATGTCATTTATCATACGTCATTTATCATATGTCATATGTTATATGTTATATGTTATATGTTATATGTTATATGTTATATGTTATATGTTAAATGTTATATGTTATATATTATACATCGTATATAATATACTACATGTCATATGTTATACATCACATACCATATATCATATGTCCATATCACATACCATACGTCATATATTACTATGAATTTTGAAACGTCAATTTACAATGAATCATCTTAATATAAAATCTACTTATAATAAAAAATATATCATACCCAAGACCATTGACGAAAAATTTTTCCGTGATATAATCCTTGCAGTTTGAGTTCTCAAAAGCGAGATAAAACTTGTAATCTTCATCAAGCATTTCGAAACAAGCTTGAGATTGTGAACGTGGACATCGAAGAGTACCGCAGGTGCCATAAATATCTACCTGTATATATTTTGATAGTTCTTTAGCGTAATGCATACGTTGGTTTCGTGGATGACAGTTGGAAACGAACCATGCCACCTAAAACAAACACATTACACATCTTCAATTAAAATATCAAAAAATGTTATTTAGGTGCTAAACTTCAATGTTTTTAATTTTGGAATGCTATAAGTTCTCAAGGTCTCAAGTTTTCAAATTCTCAAGGTCTCAAGTTTTCAAGTTTTCAAGTTTTCAAGTTTTCAAATTCTCAAGTTCTCAAGCTCTCAAGTTCTCAAGTTCTCAAGTTCTCAAGTTTTCAAGTTCTCAAATTCTCAAGGTCTCAAATTTTCAAATCCCTATGTTCTGAAATCTCCAAATTCTCAGCCCCCCAAATTTTCATATCTTCCAAGTTCTCACATCTCCAAATTTTCAAACCCCCAAATTCTCAAATTCCCCAAGCTCTCAAATCCCCAAATTCTCAAACCCCCAATTTCTCAAATCCCCAAATTCTCAAATCTCCTAATTCTCAAACCCCCAAATTCTCAAACCCCCAAATTCTCAAACCCCCATTTTCTCAAATCCCCAAATTCTCAAACCCCCAAATCCTCAAACCCCCAAATTTTCAAATCTCCAAGTCCTTAAATCCCCAAATCCTCAAACCCCCAAATTCTCAAACCCCCAGATTTTCAAATCTCCAAATCTTCAAATCCCCAAATTCTCAAACAAAACACACATAAAATATTATAAAAACCATCATTGTATTACCTTTTTAGTCTTGTTAGCTGCATAATTGAAGGTCTGCGGTATTTGCGTGACACTAGGGTCGTAATACTGCCATCTTTCATAGGGTGCGACTATATCACTATCACGTCGATACGTAGCCGTCCAATTAATTACCGCATTCTTCACGCTCTGCGTGTGATAAGGGCACTCTAAAAGGTACAGCATCCACACCTGCTGAAAGTTGTATGAGTCTCATTTCACGCATATAAATAATTAACGAGTTTCTTTTGAGATCAGTGCAGAAGAACATACAAGAGCTATCGATTATTATTATTATTATATTATACGACACTGATGTAATGTGACATTTGGCCAGATTCGGTGAGTTTAATGATTGATTATGACAGATATTTTGGTTTCATTTCATAAATATTGTGCAGTCACTTTTTATTATTTACATGACGTAACTGGGACATTTTATTGTATAAAATAGATGTTCTCAATTTGTTTGCATTTCGAGCCAATGATAGCTTGAGAGTCGATTTTGGAAATGTTATGTCATGTAATAAATTAACAGAAATTTGTAAGTAGACAAGTTTACAAAATTAATTGGAATTTTGAAATTTTGCTCATAATTAAAAAATTTTAAAGTTTTGAATCATATGGACTTCGAGACGTATAAAATTCAGTAAAAGAAATAAACTTGTCATCTGTATTGTCGTAAATAAATATTCTTACAATTTAAACAAATTATCAATACAAATTTCCTCAAAAACTAATATTAATGTATCATTTTTTCTGTCAACTCATTTTCACATATCACTATTCCATTTGCACCACAATTTTTGAAACACCCTGTATAAAGTCTGTTTAGTACAGAACATCTCATGCGCCGACTTCTTTGTCGTGCTATCTTTGTACCAAAAACATCATGCAATGTTAAAGAGGCGGCCATATTTAAGTTTCAGTAGTATAACGATGTGTCTGTGTCATCCAGTAGTATACTCAAGGTAAAGACGAACGACAGTATCTGTGGCGTCGATAAACGGTCGCCAAGATTGCACTCTCCTTTTAATTAATCTATTATGTACTTTAATGTCTACTATAGTCATATACGAACACTGTAGTATCATATAGTATAATATTATATAGTATCATAGATGGACATCAGTCAAAAAGAAAGTTAATATTAATAATTTAACATAACTCGTATTACATTATTATATAGTATCACATAGTATCATATAGTATCATAGATGGACATCAGTCAAAAACAAAGTTAATATTAATAATTCAACATCACTCGCACTATAGTATCATATAGTATCATATAGTATCATAGACGAATATCAACCGAAAACAAAGTTAATATTAATAATTCAATAATTTACATAACTCGCACTATAGTATCATACAGTATCATATAGCATCATAAGTGGACATCAGTCAAAAACAAAGTTAATATTAATAATTCAACGTAACTCATACTACAGTATCATATAATACCATATAGTACCATATAGTATCATATAGTATCATACAATATCATATAGTATCATAGATGAATATCAGTCAAAAACAAAATTAATCTTAACAATTATACTATAACTATAAAATTATTCATGTTACGTACTTGATTCGGCGATCTCCTTCCCACATGAGTTATATAATCCTTAAACAGAATTAAATCAGCCTCGTCTGAATTATCCCTAACAATCGTACAAGTATTTACTGGGCAACGAAGCTGAAGAAATATGTCGGGACCAACTTTCGCCTCCGGCATACCATGCGGAACCATTATCTTTTTCAACTGGTGTTCTTCGCTTGTTTTGTTATAATCGGTGGGCACGTACATCAGCTATAAAAAATAGACACGTTTATTTATTCATTTTATTTTCTTTTCTAAATGGAAGAATATTAATAAACATAACAGGGAAAATATAATAAACTTTTTAATTTTTTACTGGCTTCTTAATAGAGTATCCCTATCTTAATATTTTATTAACGTTTTAATGTTACTATTTTGAACAAATTAATACCTCTGGTACCTTAAACAAATTTTATGATACAAATGAAATTTGGGCATCTCAATTTCACAATTACTAAAATTGTTATAATTATTAAATAATTTCTCTTGATCTAAGAATATTTACTAAAAGTTTCAGTCATGATTTAACAATCAGTCGAAATCGCAAAGAAAATAGTGAACATCCTTCATAACTTTGTAGTTGTTCTTTCAAGAAACTCAAGCCGTTTGGTTCGATTTTAAAAAGGTTATTGTCTGAATGGTACGTCAGTAGTTTTTAAAGTCGCTATATCTCCCCTCTCTTAACTCTATATTAGGACGCCGCCCTATATAGCAGGCCGTATTGTGCTGGAGAAGAAAGGGTGAAAGATGTATGCATCTACATATATGTCTATGTGCAATATAAATGAGAAGGGGGAACACAACACTCCCATTGTTGTTTACTACACTTTAGAACAAACGCGTAATTAGGTAATTCATTTCAAAACAGCAAATTACGGGCCAGTAATTTATTCCTGGAACAAATGGGACAGGTTTTAACGTGCGGTACTTGCTTTTGCGCGTTACTTGTTCAATAGAGTACACTCAATTATCAATAACTCTATTTTTCAGCGAAACGCGCGTTCACTTTGTAAAAACGCTTTGAGTAAATGATACAATTTGCGTAATAAAGTTTTATTTACTTTCTGTATATCGTTTTAGTATGAAAACAGTTTTAAAAGATAGAAGAACATAAATTTTATGAAAGATAGCGAAAGTCTTTTAAAATTTCTTATTTTCGAATTATAACAAGTATAAAATCACACTTTACGTATATACAAAATTTAAAAGTTTGTTATTAATCTGTTTTAACATTTATATTGTTTGTAAGTGGTATTTATGCTGTCCTAATTTATGTGTACATTCATAAAATAAATATTTCATGAATTACCGAAATTTTTTATTGGAACTCATCCTTGAATTGAACGTCGTCAAATTCCGTGGTATCGATTTTACTTAAAAATGGCGGCGCTAATCAAAATCGATATCGTTACCTCGCGATTCTGATTAAAGCGTCCCTAGCGATATTTGCTTGTAATGTCGTTACGGCAACATGGAAATCGCCATATGAACTCTTACTTGTTTGATAACGTGAATATGAATATAATATGAAGAAGATTATAAAAAGTATGAAATCTTACTTGATTCGTAACACGATCATCGTAAACATCTTCATCCGGCCACAAACGCGCTAATCTCCGACCAGTGCGATGGGATTTGATGGCAGGATAAGGTCTTCTGGTTCCACCTTTCATGTACCAAGGTCTTTTCGATGGATCCATAGATTCTATACTGTTACGTGATAGAATCGTCGTGCCGGTTAAATTGGATACCTTTTAACAAGAAAATGGCGTTTAATAAAATCATTATTCTTTACAACGCTCCTCTTCTATATTCTAGCTAATATTTAGGGAACATAGCATCTATTGCTCTCTGTCCTAAAGTTAATTTACAAAATGCTTCTGGGTTTATTGCTTTATAAGCAAAATAAATTTTTCTCCGTGTATATTCTATGTTGCTTCGTTCAAGATTATAGTGTTTTAAAAAATGAAAATTAATATAGAATTTGTTAATAAAATTTATTAATGTAAATTAAAATTTTTATTTATTAAGATTACAAATCTAATTACAAATTTAAAAAATTTTAAACTAAATTATAGAATGAAAATTTTTTAGTTAAGTACTTTTTAACAGGGGTGGATAATTGACTATTTTGTAACTGTATTTGTAACTCATTATTGAAAATATTCATAGTGATTATAATTATTATTAATTAATCTCTGTTGTGATAAATTCACCATTTCTGTAGGTCAAACAGCTCCATTTTGTCGACTGAATAAAGTAATACTTGAACAGGTAAACCAACTTTGCAGAGACATACAAATACTGATCAGTTACGGTGAGAGGTAGTAGTTTTCTCCGCGTATTTATCTCTTGTGCGAGCGAGAAAGAAGGTTTGAAAGACTGAACCATCAAGCTTTATGTAGAAGTACCATTACTTTTCGAAACTTGTTTCAACTACTAATGAAGAGTGACCATCTTTTATGGACGACATTTCGCGATCCGTTAACGAAACTTTGCTTCGATAAGAAATTACAAAACTGTAAGAATTCGGTAACACAATTTTATCGAATATAGAATTGTATTGAATATTGAATAGAATTATAGAAGTTTGTTTTAGAAAATGCGAAATAAATGTAGATTATATTGAATTTCTATGAACATAACCTGTTTTAACATTTCTCGCAAATCGTGCATTGAAGATAGCAATTTTTAAGATATAAAATACTATTAACGAATGTAAAATTTCAGTTAACGAATGTAAAATCTGACTTGAAAAATGGCGATAGGAATCTAAAATCGCAAACCACCGACATATTGTAAGAATCTAACCTCTAATGCTATATTTAATAATTGTAATAACATGGTAATAATTTTCATAATAACATATAATATGTTTTATTATTCCCAAACAAGATTTACGTGGAAGCTTATCAGGTAACATATTAATAGTTTAATTTACGATTTCGCTTTATCGTAACAATTTTACATCTCAATGTTCTTGTCCATAAATATTATAAACTCCTCAAAGCAGTATAAGAAAATAACAAATAAAATCCGTCATAACAATTTATTTCCATATTGAAACTACGCAAATGAGTTACTATAGTAAAGAACAAATGGCGATATACTCCTCTTATCTCATTAAGGTTCCAACAACGCCCTGACGCAAGATCTTTCGATCGGCTCTTTAAAACCTCCTCAATGAATTAGGAATACTTTTGAACGTTACAAAAGGCTCCATTGAAAACGAACAATCGGTTGTTAAAATAATCGCGAACGTAAGTAGCGTATGCCTGAAAAGAAGTCTTTTGAAAGAAATGCAGGGGTGATCGGTGCAAGTGGGAACACGCTTCGATTCAGACGTATTTTTGGACCACATCTAGGTTAATAAGTAGGTTAATAACTAATCAGATTCCTGCGATGCTAGAAAGCAGGCTCTGTAGAGCTGTAAATATTGGAATATTCGAATACGGTTTTGAAATTCAAATATTTTAGTCCTAGTGAGACACATAATTTTATTACTAGAGAGAAGAAAAGAAAAAATTAATATAACAATCTCACAATTTTCTCCATCTTGTATTTTAACATTATCAAACTTTTCAAATTTCTGAAAATTACTTTTCAAGTTAATCTGTATTACAGTAGCGGTGTTATTCAATTCGTCATGTAATTCAGTATTACTTAATTCATTATCTAACTTAATCATCACGGAAGTAATACGATATTTCTTATCGCACGATGTTATCAGAGCGATTGCATGCGTACTAATGCATATAGCACCGTTGCAATGACTATTATTTTTTCCCCTATCTGTGATTAGATTAAAAGTCCTCTGGCGACAACTAAAAGCTTGTGCCTTCTACTCTAAACTTCTAAGTACAACTAATAGGTGGCACATGCATCTACATTTGAATGTTTCAGTTGTGAATTGTCATCCTGCGCGTATTTAGATATTTCATGTTCCTGTTTAAAACAGACATGATCAATTGACATCTCTAATTTTTTACTCTGCTGACGTGTAGAAAATCTTATATATATTTGGCGTATTAAGGGCGTATGTATTTCGTTATTATCATACATGTAGCATAACCTTTGCTGCTTAAGTAACATCTAAAGAAAGTAGCGATGGGTAAGAGTGAAAACCGATATGAACAAACCACTGTACAAGCACAAAGATTGTTTTTATAACTTATTTTGGTATTTATATTTATTAGTTACCTATATATTAAGTTTTATACATGGTGTAGCATAATTTTGCTACTCAAGTAACCTCTAAAGAAAGTAGTGATGGGTAAGAGTGAGAATCGATATGAACAAACCACTGTACAAGCACAAAGATTGTTTTTATAACTTATATTGTAATTAATGTTTGTAAGTTAATATATTAAATTTTATGAAATTTAATGATTGAAAAGTGAAAATATCATACAAAATAATTAATAAATTCGCCAATAAACGTCAATAACATACCGTTTAATAAACTCAAATTTTGAAGTTACCTAACAACGTCATAAAGAATTTACAGTGAAATCTTATAATGAAGACTATGGATGTCAACCATGCATAATTATCAGCAGATTTGATCATGCCTATTTCAAAGACACTATTACAAAAATTTCAATGATTAATAGTGAAAGCCAAAACTAGATTTTTGAATCATAATCGCCAATATAATAGTAAAAGTTGTCTCAAGTGTGTTTCTCGCGTATACTGTGTTGCTATCGCCATCTATGGACATTGCAATTTAAACTGTACCTCCGATGGAACTTTTTTCTTCGCTTTTTCCTGAGTTTGCAGAATATGCATTGTCGTTTTCCTCAATTTTGTTGGCCAATTTTGTTTCATCTGCATCGAAATTCGATATTTACATGTTCTTAATGTACTCTCAGTTATGGTAATTTCATACTTTTCTAACAATTTATTTGCACAATAAAAAATCTACGGAAACTACTTAATACTTGGTATTCACTTTGAATGAACCTTAAATTATTTGTCTAAAGGTACCATAAAAGTAACTTTACTATAATGTGAGTTTTAAAATAATTCTCATAAGTATTTAGAAAAATTGTAGTCAATGAAAATAAAAAAGAAAGACATTTTTTTTTAGAATTTAACACAGTACGATACATTTTATATTTACATCAAATATTCTTTCGATATTTAATTCTTTCCGGTATTTTTCTTTTCCAATATTTTATATTTGAAATATTTTTATCTTGAAAACAACTGATATGATTTTACTGAATTCAGTGACTTTTACACAGTTTGTAATTAAGATAAGATAGCACTTATAATTTGTACAAAATTTAAATAGCACATCGTTAATTAATTAGCACATCATTCTTGAAAATTCATTTCGTTTAATGTAATATTTTGGAATTCATAGTTTTAGGATATTTTTCGAAGTAAGTTTATCAAATGATTATTACACACTTCTGTCCAGTGCAAGTACAAACGTACTACAAAAAGTTCGTGCTAATAATTAAATAATTAGAATGTAAATATTGTAGAATACCTTGGTGCTGTCGGCGAGTCGAACAGATTGCGTTTGTCCGGGATGTGGTCGCATACGATGCCATATCTCGTCCTGTAAGAGATTCAGGAGAACCAACAGCAAGCCAGAAGAACATAACACGTAGAAAAAGTATCCTTTCAAGGAGAGACGCGGCAGACCCATGCCGCACGTTTCCTCTTTGTCAAAAACTTTTATCTATCCATGCGTTATTTCTTGTCTGAACCTCGATATCCATTTAGGGACACTGAAATCATAAGATTAAACAAACTTATAATTTACTAGAAGCACGAATTTACAAATACTTGGGTTGTTAAGGTTCTAAAATTGGAGGATACACAAATTTTATTTGCAATTTTTGAGGTTTATAATGAATAATTTATTAGATGTGGAAATTATTTAATTTTCACAATTTTCACAATTTTCATAATTTTCATAATTTTCACAAATTTCACAATTTTCACAAAATTCCACAATTTCCACAATTTTCACAATTTCCACAATTTTCACAATTTTCACAATTTTCTCAATTTTCACAATTTTCTCAACTTTTAAAATTTTTATAATTTTCTAAATTTCCACAATTTTCCAAATTTCCCGAATTTCTGAATTTTTCCAAATTTCTAAGCTTCTAAATTTCTAAATTTCCAAATTTCCAAATTTTCAAATTTCCAAATTCCCAAATATCAAAATATCCAAATATCCAAATATTCAAATTTCCATATTTCCAAATTTCCAAATGTCCAAATTTCCAAATGTCCAAATTTCCAAATGTCCAAATTTCCAAATGTCCATATTTCCAAATTTCCAAATGTCCAAATTTCCAAATGACCAAATTTCCAAATGTCCAAATTTCCAAATGACCAAATTTCCAAATTTCTACATTCCCAAAGTTACAAATTCCCTAATTCTTCAAATTTGCCTCAAATTTCTTAAATTTCCCAAATTCCCCAAACTCCCCAATTTCCAACTTCTCAAATCCCCATATTTCAAAATACTGAAATTTGCAAATCCACGAATTCTCAAATTTCCAATCATCAAATCTCAAATTCACAAACCTCCCAAATTCCCAAATACCCAATAATTAAAGTTTCCAAATCACCAAATTTGCGATTTCCTAAGAATCCTCATATGAGTATCACATACGTCCATCACCTGACTTTGCCATACTATAAATACGTATATGTACATCACCTAACTTCCATATAGTATAAATACGTGCATATACATCCACTAACTACTATATGTTATAAACACACATAAATGTTCATAATATACATATACTAATATAAACTTTGTTAGCCTCATATTATATCACATGTCCTTCGTGGTTTCCGCCATGCAATCGCAAGAGAAATTGCATTACTATCAAAATTTTTATCGACCTTCCTGTTCAGAAATATTTCCCGTTCATAAATATTTTATCTATTTTGTCTTTCTTTTATTTGTGCATCGTTAATTGAAACGACTGATAAAATATCAGATAACATTGAAATACCGGAAACAAACACTATTGAAGTTTGCAGAAACTGACATTTGAAGAGTTTTTGTATAAAAATTTCTTTCTTTGAACCTGCGATTTGAACCTGTATTTATAAAAAAATTTTCGTTTAAGATATTTTATTATTAAGGATAATTACTCCATTGTCAATTTTATTAAAAATTATTCTGACATTCTTTTAACATCATACCTTTGCACAATATTTTCTTACATTATTCACCTTTTATAATACAAGTGTTATAAATACATTAATTCAAGTGTTTCGAATTGCACAAGTGAAGAAATTCTTAATAACAAACACGATAAATTCATTAAATTCAAAAGTCCTATACACTACAAGATATAGTCCCACAAGACAAAGTGTTAAACAAGAAATTACTTCCGTAAAAAGTCGTTAGCATAAAGACTTGTAAAATCAAATGTGGCAGCAGATGTATATCGAGACAGGTCGAAGACAAGCGATCGCTGTAAAGTGAGTAATGTTTAAACAGTTGACCCGAATGGTGCAAATTTAATGTAACGGAGAGCCTCTCCGCTAATGTACACTGTGAATTTCATGCGGTTCATTCTTCCGCTTAATTTACACCTTTAGGCTGCAAATAGAGTGGAAGAAGGTACCAACAAGAACAGAAACTGAAGTTTACCTGAATGGAGAACGTCGTTCTTAATTAGACCACTTCGTGATGTACAAACAAGAAATTCCATGAATAAATAATCATCGTGTAATTAAAATGTAATCAGTTGCTTAGATTGATAAATATTTTGATAGCGATACTGATTTCTTATTTTCACTTTACTGATGTTTAATTTCAAATTAGTTTCAGTAAATTTCATTTGGGAAAGTTATGTTCTAAAATAATATTTGTATAAATTTTGACTTTACAGATGTTTCTGATAATTTGGAGTTAAAGGTGAATTTAATTCAGTAAAATTATTTTAGGATTATTAATAATGTAGACAAACTTAGATTAACGTAGACTAATATAAATTATGCTCTGCAAATGGACTATATGTCTATTTATTATAACAAACATTTGTGATTGCAAATCAAAACATTTTGATCAGTTTGTTCATTTTATTACTGTACATAAAAAACCATAAAACCTTTAGAAGTTTTCATGTACCTTTGTTGGTTTTCAAGATAGTACTCGGACTGAAAGTTTAAAGGGTGGATTCGACCCTTAAAGTCGCATCTCAGTCGATAAAAAAACGAGTCCCTTGCTCAAAAAACGTACGAAGTTTCATAAAAAGGAGGAGGATAAATTTTACAAATTTTTCTTGTCAAATAACAGTAACAATAATCATCATTTTTTCTGTCTTAAGATATCTTACTTTTTCGATTACTTATCACAAACGATAACAAATCATAAAACTACAACAACTGCTTTACAATACTGGAATTAGAATGAAATGTTTTTACCTCGGTGAGAAAATTCTTGAAAAACGAACGTACTGTTTAGAAAATAATTTTTCAAAAAATTGTTTACCAACACACACACGTATAAATGATATAAAATTGATCTTTTTGATGTAACATTAAAATTTATAATAGATTTTGTGTCTATGGTTTTTTGATTGTTTACTGAAAAAATTGTGGAGAATATTCTCCAAAAAAATGCATGAAGGAAAATTTTTATAATATATAATATTTAATAATCACTATTATTTCTTTTTAATAATTAAAACTTTTCGAGACAACTATTATACAATTGTAGAACAGAAGAAAGTAGAACAGATTGTATAAATTTTATTACAAATAATTTTCTTAATACTCTAATAATATTTAGAGAATCTTTGACAAAAGTAACTAATTTTCACTAACCTTGATACAATTTAAAAAAAGTTTTTCTGGCATCGTACACTGCAGCCACGAACAAGAACTGAGGAAAAATCAGTTGTACAACTTCATTTAATTTCTGATAGCGTGTACAATCAATATATCGGTTATATCTTACTGTCAATATTAATTTTAAGTGAATCTTTGAAAAAGTGGAAATGAATATTAACAGTTATATACGATTAATTTTCAGAAGAACATGTTTACAGAAAGAAAGATCATTTTTACAACAGGAAAATTTATTATTGAAACTAGACATCTGGAAGTTCTTTCTCAAGTAAATGATCGAAGGAATGATATTGACAAACTAAAAAAAATGATTTTTTTGTTGAATTTGCGTCTCCTGGATTCATCATTGTTATACGATACACGTTTCTTTTAAAGAAACACTTAAAAAACACAGATTTTTTGCAAGCTTAAAGACAACATACCTCGACACAGTGAATCACCTCCGCAGACTGTTTCACATTATCGGGAAAGTCTAGCAAGGTATTTGAAATCTATCTTATCTACCAAAAGGAATAAAGTCAAAATCGGAAACAATATCTACAGAAATATTAATCCGAATTCTTTTATCGGTTATGTAATTCCTGCCATTGTGTGTATACATAGGTGTAAACATTTTTATTTAGTTCGTAGGCCATAAATTTTATACAGATACGTTCAAGCTTCAAGTAAAATGTTCAACTTTTGATCACGTGGGTTTAATGTAAGGTTATTTTGCAGATACTGTAAATTTTCAACTATATTGTAAATCTAATACTGTAAATTTACTGTAAATTTAATAAAGTTGTTCAACTTTTGATCACCTAGGTTTAATGTAAGATTATTTTGCAAGTACTGTAAATTTTCGACTATACTGTCAATCTAATACTGTAAACTTACTGTAAATTTAATAAAGTTGTTCAACTTTTGATCACGTGGGTTTAATGTAAGGTTATTTAGCAAGTACTGTAAATTTTCGACTATACTGTCAATCTAATACTGTAAATTTACTGTAAATTTAATAAAGTTATTCAACTTTTGATCACGTGGATTTAATATAAGATTATTTTGAAAATACTGTAAATTTTCGGCTATACTGTAAATTTAATACTGTAAACTGTAAATTTAATAACAAGAATAAATAATAGCATAACTGTTGCAGAAAGATAATAAAAATAATATCTATTAACCTGATGTAAGTAATAATATAAATAATATTTATTAATTTGATGGAATTTTTTGCTACTCACTTTGATATGTATAATCCATGTGAACTTCGGATTATTTTATTAATTTTTGAATAACTAGTTCCACCTGTGTTACGACATATCGGTCGAGGTAAACGTGGACTTTTAGAGCACTTAAGTATTACTAATAACCACGGAAGTGCCATGCTACGATATATCGATCTCTTATCACTAGTAACGAGGGTAACTAATAATAACTAGTTATACAGGCTGAACCAAACGAAGTACTACGAGCTATCAAATATCGATTTCATTTTTTCGTTGTTTCATGCTTCATGGACACGCAATTTTATCTGAATTTTAATTTTTAGCATAAGAAATGAATATACATATATCACTGATTTTGATTTTCTTAAAAGTTCTTCCAGATTTTGTTGTTAAATTTGATATAACAAAATGGGTAAATTATATCTAGTTTGTCTATGGAGTCTAAGAATTATGATTGTATGTATACTGAGAGTTGAAACACCTCATTTTAAACGAATAATATACAGGGTTCTTATGTTCAATATTATTAATAATTTAAATATAAGAACGTATTTATAGAATCAAAGCCAAAAAAAATATCTGCAGTTGACACACATTTCAAAATCTTGAGATACTCGTAATTATTACGAGCGTATACGATTTAATTAGTGTCAACAGCCACTAAACTTTAATTGTATTTTTAAGTACGT